CCCCAAAACCCCAAAACCCCAAAACCCCAAAACCCACTGATGATTTTTCTATTTTGCTAGAACATTAGAAAATGTTAATAAATCAAATGTTTAATTTATACTGCCCGAAATCTGATTTCTTTACCCCTCTAATTGTTAAGATTTGCTCTAAGTCCTCCTAAGTCTAATCCTTGACTAGTGTCTTATATGCATCCTTTATCTGTTCTAATGGATAACCTAGAACTTTGAACCTTCCCTCTAGTTTAAGTATCTATTTTTAAACGAAATTTTAATAGGACTCAGGTATTTTATTCTGTGATGATTGTGACTATCCCTCTGCTTGAAGATGTGGTAGGTTCAATAAAGTAGTTTTCATTTCAACTAAGTCCAAAAGAAACTATAGGGATCAGTTAAAATGTGAATGATTCATGTGAGTTAAGCTTACTTATTGAGAGCTTTCATCATTAACTTTCTTGATTTTGTAAACTTGATTCAGATACTATGAAGTAACAGCTCTGTAAAATTTAAGGCTTATTAAAATTTACGAGACAAGTTTATTTAAGAAGTAAGTGAAATAGGTTGGATTTAAGATTCCCTTGATAGCAATAACTCTCTTTTAAATGATTTGGCAAATAGTCCTGAAATAGTACGAAGTATCTTGAACTCCAGTGAAAGAGGCCTATTATTTTAATGAATGCATTATATTACCCAATTTATCTTTTGCATAACTTGAGAATATTATGACTCAGATTTTGATTCAATAGAGCTTACAATTCCAATTACGCATTAGTTTATTAGTCTATATATTTGAATGGTTTATAAAATGAAATTACTCTCTAAATGTGTCTTAGGCAACATTAAGATCAATCTTGTTTTTATATTGCTCATCTATCTTATCTAAGATTGAGTTATTTAGTCCTGGAATCGTCTCCAGACAATAATCTCCAGTGTTAATTACGTAGCAACATTTTATTTCTTATTCGTCATTTATAGCTATTTTATCCTGCTCTGTTCCTAGCTTTGGCAAGTTTCTTCTTAGAAGTTTAGAGTAGTGTCTGAAAGCATTCTTGAATGATATATGCAAGTCAAATAATGCCTTACTAGTGCTAAAACTTATACATCTCTTCAGTGATCCCTTTATATTTTTGAATAGATGTAGACTTGATCCATAAACCAAGTAGTCAAGATTTTCCAACTTATCTCCTTGCCCAATTACTGTTTCAATGGCTTCAATGATCTTTCTCTCCTCTGACTCAGAATAAGACTTTAGGTAGGGCTCAAAGCACTCTGAAATACAGCCCTTGAATCTGTAAATATGTGCACTCATTTTAGTCTTGCCTCTAATTTTCTCATACACCTTGTTATGCTCAGCTTTTTCATCTTTGCCAATGAGGTCTTTATATTTTTCTTTTATCTCCTTTGCTGAACCTCCCTCTATTTTCACATTGCCTTACTTATCAATGTTAACAGCATGACTTGACATGTCGTCGTAGTTACTTTGCATTCCTGACGTAGCACCAGTGAACCTTTTATGCAGATCGTGCTCAAAATCAATTGTATTTTATAAGATGTCTATTATAATAGAGACATCAATACTATGATGCTAAGTTGATAGAATACTGTCAATGTGCAGTTTAGTATTTCTACAGAATTCATAGGCAATCATTGGTTTTAAGTTCCATTCAGATGGGAAGATCGACTCATACTTTTCCTAGAATTCTTTAAGTGTCCTTCTTAGCCATGCAAATCTTCTCTTTGTATTTTCAAATGATGCATCAGGTTAGCCTATAACATTTATATTCATTAATAGTGTTTTTACCTGGAGAAAATAATTTCTTGTAAGGCTCAAGAATGAAATTACAAAACCAATTTCTGACTTCATTCCTATTTATGATAATATATCTTCTAAATTATTCTTACACAGCCTGCTCACCTAGAGCATCTATTACAAAGCATGCCTCATAAAGTAAATCTTATAGACTTCCCTTGTCAATTCTATTTAAATAATTAAATAACCTCACTTACTTATTGAAATCTTCAAATATCTAAAGTCTAAGTTGGTTGCAGAGATGATCTCTTTCCTTTCTGAGATCTTTGATCTACTGCACATCTTTATAGTCCTTGAAGTAGTTGCACAGTTCATCAGTGGCCTCAATCAAATTAGAGGCTTCTCGGTATTATTTGTTAATGCAAAACCCTCTGAGTTATTCGATTCCAGTAACTATTATCATCAAATATTTCTAATCTTACTAAGCATTATCATTCGCTTCAAAGAGGTAATGGTGAAAGTGATGTTCTTCTTAGCGAAGTCAAGACTTCTGATATCAGAGCAGATTGACTTGACCATCTCCTCTGACACATCTGCTTTCTACTTCACACTCTGAATTCTATCTATCAGAAAAGCGCTCTCCTCATTGATTTTCTTAAGTTCATCTCTAGCACTCTCTGATGCATATGCTTACTCTCTAATGCACTCTTTAATCTACTGATCCAAGTCATTGATCTAGTCATCAAACTACATTATGCATGATTCCAGATTGTTCAAGGAGCTTTCTATTAATCATATTAAGATAATGAATCTTACCATCATTAAACTGAGAATTGATGTACTCATTAATGTCAAACTTTGAGGACATAAGGGGATCATCCTAAATTTTACCGAATTCCTCTTCAAGAGCCTGTTCTAGCTATTCTGAAAGCTAAAGTCTCTATAACTTTGATTCTAAGAGAGAACCTATATCTATCTCTGACTCCATTTTATCAATTCAAATTCAAAATTATATTAAAGATATAATATAGATAGTTAATTAAAGTTTATTTCATTAAAGATAATTTACAAAATACAAGCATATTTGTGCATGTTCATTATTTCATTCAAATTCCTTTTCGACACAGATTAAATTTGGAATATCAATTGGAATGAACCACCAAATGCTAAACCCTTAACCCCCACTGAACACCTAATCAAGATTTTACCATCCAGTTCTAGTGCTTTTTCTATCTTTCTTATCATCTGATTTTTGTAGCTTATCAATAGCTAGACATTATTATTAACTAAATTCTTACTTGAAGTATTGTTATAAATACAAGAGATTTGGTCACAGAACATAATGCTTACAAATAAGCAGAATAGTAATGCTAGAAATACGGCTAAGCCAGCTATAATGAATCAATGTTAGATATACTGGTATACTTACTTAGTGCCATATTGAAGATTGAATTGAATAGTGCACAGTTTTTATCTAGGCAATAGATCGCATTTTTAGATAAAAGATACAGAGCATGACCACTGCCGTTGAACACGTAAATTAAGAACAGGATAAAATGCTTCTAAGTATAGAAGCCAACACAGTTATTAACCCAGGGGCAATGATGATCCATTCTAGCAACACATCTTTTACATATAGAGCAGTGATGAGAGTGTGGAGGCTTGATTGAGTTGCATTTCTTGCATTTCTTAGACAGGATTTTATCTAAGAATCTGACGTTTCTAGCATTGACAACTACTTTACTGTTAAGAGGTTATTGATCTTCAGTGTCATTGGTCACTTTGCCCTTTTAGTTTACACTCTTCATAATTGATTGCATAGCCTTGCGTTCCTAGTCCTTTTGCTGTTTTTGTCTTTGGATTTTCTAAACATCTATGTTGAATTAATCATCTATTAATGATAGTTATGTGTGTAGTTTATACTTACTTTGCTAATCTAGAGTAGAATTAGTATCTAATGTTGTATTATTAGTGCTATCAGAAGCTAAACTCTAATTTTATTAAGTTTTATCCTCGTCCTCATCATCATTAAGCAAAGAATTTTGAATCTAAGTCAAAGCCAGACTAAGTTCATGAGGAAGTTTCGAGCTGTCTAGCTCTTCGTAATCTCTTGGTAGGACCCCAGGCTAAGTTGTCATGCATTTTAAATGACTCGCAATAATCATGAATACGTTATATAGGAATATCATTAGATGAATATAGCCCCAGGTATTCCCCAGGAGTAAGTCTTCCCAAACACCGATGCGAATGAATGCAAATTAAACAGTGAAAACTGTGAAGTAACAGAAAAACACGCAGACTATGCCGCATGCTTCAAATACAAACCACATTTTAGAATTTTTAATTATTTATACGATTAAAAAGACTATTATTAATTTATTGACAGTAATTACATCTAAGATGATCATCCCTCCGGGGTTTTGGGGTTTTGGGGTTTTGGGGTTTTGGGG